CAGTTAAATATTTCAAATAATATGAACACTCTTAAAAGAGGAAATGTATTATAGTGTTTCTTGAAGTAATTTGTTTAGTATTATTATCGAACAGTTGTTAAAAAGTGTACGTATTGATATAAAAAAAAATCTTAAACTCTTTGATTCCAGGTAAGGAAAAATGAGCACCATCAAAGTTAAAAATTAAGAGTTTGTAAGTTTGCCACAGATAACTTATAATATCTATCAAAAGTTTAATTATCACCATTGAAACACAAAGAAATTAAACACATAAAATCGATATGAATGACCTTGTTTTAGTACCTACTAGTACGAGGGGTGATCAAAAGGTTCGCGAACTATCTCGATACATGTGTATCTATTAAAAAAAAATTCAGATTAGAACAAGTTTGGTGCACACATAGGCAAACACAAATTCTGTAAATAGCATATGCTGAATAAAGTTTTGCTCACAATGTGAAAATGACGTCATTATGCAGATACTTGAGACGAAAAATGGTTGTCTCAGTGGAACTCGTTCAACAAATGACTAAAATATATATGGTATATCTTAAAAATGTCTTTGAATTAGCGTAAAAGAATTTGTTCACAGTATATTAAGACAAATGACTTCCTGTAAATTCAATCAATGATTGGATAGATCGTTTTAGTGAAGGAAGGCAGATGATTAATATGATACTTGTTATGTTGCCCGGTGAAAGCAAGTTTGAAAAGGGATATATTTTTAATTAAGCAATGTGTTATCAAAGACCTCCAATTTACACTTTGAAAAATACTTGAATATTAATAAATAACAATAATACAACTATCAAATACCTAAAATATCGTTTACTTTTTGATCACCCCTCGTATACAATTTCATTACAGCGGAGCAACATTGGAAAAGGAATAAAATCGTTCAGCGTGGGTTAGAAGATTTAATAAATTATTTTTTTGCCCATTTTGTCAGATAAACTATTTAAAATTAAAGAAAAAAATCAACATAACTATATTTTAAACCATCTTTAAAATGACGTTTGGTGGTCCTCCCAACGCAGGGAAAAATTATTGGGTCGGTATTTATAGGTGAGAAAAAAGATTCCTTAAAATTTAAACATATTTGTTGACGGAAGAAAAAATAGTGTAATGGGATGTAAAAAAAAATTGAGTCGGGCCATTTCTAGGAAGTAGATTGGGAAGGAGGGCAACCAAATATTTTTATAACAAATGGTCTTATAAGGCTAGTACATGTTCCATCACATAATCAGTAATGCAAATTTTTGAATCTTTGGCATTATTTTGAAAAACAAACATAGGATTTTTTTGGTGGGGGAGGGGGGTTGGGGTGGGGTGGGGCTATAGCCTCTTACTGTTTTTTGCGATGATAGATATAGCATATGCAATGGCCCTTTCTTTGCAAACATTGTGCTTGCTTCTAAATTTCAAAGAAACAGCTTTGTGTGTTCAATGGGCGAGAGCTTACAATGTTGTCAACATAATGAGACATGATGCTTTTTATGTCCAAACATTACTCAATACAATGTGTGGGTCATTGCAAATAATTTAGCTATTTATGTTAGGTGCCTGGAGGAAATTTTATTACTGCCTATTTTTTCTATCTAACTGCTAAACAAAATAGACATATGTACTAACTTTTCGAATGTAAGATAATTTGTTTTTCATGCACTGCATGTTGTTTAACTTTTTCAAATTAAATACTAAGCATCCTCCTTGCAGTGCCCCATTTGAAAATAACTTTTATCGCCACAGAAAAAGACCCGACGTAACACATATGTTTAGGAAATTTTTTATCTTTTTTCTTGAGTTTTAAAGAAACCAACAAATTATCGAGACTTGTTCCATGAAAAATTAAATATAATCATGGGTTAAAAACGCATCTATCCACAGTAGATATTTGCACATGCCAACCACGTGCTCAGTGGAATAATATTAACAAGAAAATTCGAGCTGAAAACAGAACACTTTTTCCCGATTTGCTGGAGTGGGGTAAAAATTGCATTCTTTCATTAATCAGGCGATGCGATGCAACAAAAAAAAATTGGTAAGTAATAATACATGATGATTATTACTTAGCAATTTCTTGTCTTGATGTTATTATGGTCGCATTTATTCTAAAATCAATGTTATTCGAACTCTATGTGACAGAAGAATGGCGGACGAAATAAACAAATGGCCTCAGGAAGACACCCATATGATAAAATCAAATTTTTAAGAATTATGTATAATGACAAGAAAAAAGCGAAACAAATGATTGTAGCCATATCATCAATGAATCAAACTAACACATTTTCAATGCATTTATCATCTCGTGAATGTTGTAGCTGCGCAGTTCTAACATGATTAATTTCTTCCTAATTAAAACAAAATAAACTTAATTGTTTACTAATTTTGGTCTCTAATAATGAGTTATTAGTGCATTAGCACTTTGAGTAACTTTGGGCTAGTAAGCGCATTCTTGTTATTTCTTATTTTACACCAGAATAGATCACAATATGGCTTGTACATCCCCCTTAACAGAATATATTACATGACTATGGACAAAAAGTTTAAAATTTATTTACTTTCATTTTAGGACCAAAGAAAGTATATTTTTAATTCAATTAATGCATGAAAATAATTAGTACAAGTAGATCTTTTGCAGATATGACCTTTAAGTATTTACGACATTATTGCTGAAAGATTACACAATAAAACAACTAGTTCTAAGACGTAGGTGGCATTTCAATATCTTATCAAACCAGGTGTTTATATAATAATGAAATTAAAGTAGAGATGCAGAATGATAATAACCATAAAATGCAAGTTTTAGAAATGATTTAACCCATTTAAGAGTCCCATTTTATTTGAATGAAGTACGATCGGAAATTTTTAAATGTAAGAATACAATGTACATTTTTCGCTTTAATAACATCCAGTAACGTTGAAGGAACGTTCCTAAAAATTGTATTGTGGAACATGTGTATGTAATTTCAAGCATTCGTTATTGATACATGTATTATCTAGCTCTTGTATACTCTTCATTCACGTGACTACCTGACAAAGAATAGCAAAATACTAAAAAGGTAGTCTTATGTTTGTAACATATTTTAAAGCCAAAAAATAAGTCGTTTTTACAAGATATTATGTCGTTTTCACAAGATATTATGTCGTTTTCACAAGATAATATCTCGTTTTCACAAGATATTATCTCGTTTTCACAAGATATTATTTCGTTTTCACAAGATAATATCTCGTTTTCACAAGATAATATCTCGTTTTCACAAGATATTAGGTCGTTTTCACAAGATAATATCTCGTTTTCACAAGATAATAAGTCGTTTTTACAAGATAATTTTTTTCTGGTATTAAAAAAAAATAATTGCGTGTCCTAAATATACCACCGTACAAACGGGTTCAACGAGTATACGTTGATAAAAATAAAACAAATACAACCTTCTGACCAATAGTGCGTAAATGAAATAATCGATAATTCCTAATGCCCAAATAAAGATAACTCTTATCAATATACCCGTACAATAAGCTAATATAAAACATTGACACAATACCACTTGTGACACAGGAGATGCTTACTCTTTTTATAGAACATGATCTCATCTATGATGTTTTGGAGGTCCGTGTTTGCTCTGCCCCTATTTTGTATTGTTTGTAGACTTTTGAGATCGTATAATTATTATTCGTTATATCCCCATGTATTTTTGTTTATCATAATTTCCTACGAATTTATCCTACATCTTTCAAGTTGAAAATTACCGGTCACGGAGCGTTCGCTTCGTGATCGGGAGGCCCGGGTTCGATTCTCGATCGCGTCCCTGCGTCATACCTAAGACGTAAACAAAGGTAGTGACTGTTCCTTCGCCAAGCGCTCGGCACTAGAAGTGAAATTAAAGTCACAGAAATTTCGGATATGACCTCATAAACGTAGGTCCCGTGTCACGGTAGGCGTTGGCACGGTAATAAAGAACCCTCACTGCTCAATGGCCCTGAGAGCCTAGTAAAGGTATAAATTTTAAAGCGCTTCACCGGCATACAGTGCCGTCTCCATGTGAGTGAAAGATTCTCGAGAGGGACGTTAAACATACAATCAATCAATCAAGTTGGAAATTATGCATAGGATGAGTGGAATTATTTTCCCGGATATTTTAACATATTATTAAACAACCTAGTCGATTACTTCAGCGTAGATAAAAAAAAAGACTCGGGGATCGTTAAGCTGTAATTGTGCAGTTGTTCAGCATTTTTTTTTAATTTTAGAGTGCAATATTTACTTTACTTATTTTGTATTATCATTTATTTATATAACATTTTTGAATAGGTTTTCCTATTATATCACAAATGTAACAAGTTTTGCTATAAACCCTGAAAAATGCCGAGTCACACCAGAAACAGTTATGTCGGCTGGAAACAGTTATGTCAACCCTCTACGGAAACAGTTATGTCACTATTTCGATCACGTTTACGTGTTTTTACGTTACGCATTTTAGCTCGAGTTCGAGATGTTATGACGTTGGTTGCTTAGCAAATGTAAACAACGGAGCGTTATTCTTAACGTCAAGAAGGTATTTTTGGATTATTTGTGTACATTTGAACAATTTTGAATGATTTTAAATTTTCTTTTAATTTTAAAAATGTCATATAACATATACCACATGGCTTCAATTGTGACTATACCAGAATATTTGCCCCTCGGTGACAGGAAAGCCCGGGAGTGTTATGTCACCCTCTGCCGTCGGCATCGGGTGACATAACACTCCAGGGCTTTCCTGTCACCTCGGGGCAAATATTCTGGTATGTCACCCTCGAAGCCATGTGATACTGCAGTATATTTATAATAGATATCGAGTAAACGGTAATTGATAGGCAGTAATGATCAGATTGATAACGAATCATACTAACTTGATTTATTATCTCAACATTACAAATAGCAAGATAATAATATTAATTTCTGAAAACCTTTTAATGTCATAAACAATGCGCCGTAAATAGTTGTTACTTCCGAGAATCTAAAGCGAAAGTAAATAATTATATTATACAAGTTAGGGAAGCATTCATTTTTCATCATGAAGTCAATATCTGAGCTGTGTCAGAAAAAATCATAGGAATTGGTAAGTTCTTACTAGAAAAAATTACATGTACCTATCACCTAAAAAGTATTTAATTGATTTGACATGTGTAATATTTTATATATGTAAAAACATCGATGCGTTCCAAATTCTTTTAAGGTGGTTTTTCTGTAATAATGAGTTTAAAGATCTCTCCTGAAAGTTAACTTAAAAGAAACCCATAAACCAGAAACACAGGCATGCGCAGTTACGGAGTTAATGGACAACTTTCCTTCTGGAAGGTTGAAAGAAAAACGAGTGAAATAAATGGAGAAAACGAACAGTATTCAAGCAACAAAGCCCATTGCACAAGAAAAAAATTAAGGCATAGCAAACACAGACCTCCAAAGACCAAAGGTGGGACCAGGTGCCCTGGAGGAGCGAGAATTCCCTGCTGACTGGTCACAATCCCCGTGTGCCCCTTGTTATGATTCGGAAATATCCGAAAAATCCGTCGTCATTTCAGTATGTAGAAAATGGCATTTTGGCATAATGGCATAACATTTTGTATGTATGATAAATAGGTTCTGCTGACAAGGTCAGTGTAACGACCGAATTGATAATCCTCGGCTGACTCCGCTACGTTCCATTCAAACCTCGACGTAAGTGTCCGAGGTTCGAGCCACCCGAAGTGTTCCGAGTGGTAACTACTTTTTTCAGCAACCTGTTTATAGATTTTTAGACATTTTTCATACGTAGAGCATAATTATATATACCCTATCCATCAATTTACCTTCGTTAGGAAGGCTATTTAGTGTACATTGCTACATATCTTTCCGAACGTTAGTTAATCTGATTATTTAGTAATTTTAGCGAAGTGAAATTTATAACTAACATCAGGATCAAGCTGAGACATTTTTGAATCTGAAGTACGGTTGCTGGAATTTCCATTATATGGTGTTATAAATTTATTCCTATATAAGAAAACAAAAATAAAATCATAACTAATATGGAAATGAATAGAGTATTTTTTGGTCAAATGTTACACAAACAATTTTTTTACATTTTAAAAGTACATTTTTCATGATTTTTTCCATTGAACACACCTCCCCTACTGTGCATAATTACACATTTAATACATAATTTATGCCCTGTTGTCACGAAAAGTTTAATTCGAAGTAAATTAATGCCAGGTAAATTAATGCGAAGTAAACTAATGCGAATTATATTGCGTTCACACGACAGCTAATTCGAAGTTAACTAATGCGAATTTTACTTCTACAGCCTGGCGTCAGCAAGGCTATTATGACGTCATTTGCAAATCCCATCACCTTATGCATAAGCAGATGTATTTAACATAATATCACAGTGTTTGGAGACATATTTTAGTGATTAACACATTTTTTCTTCGTTTTTTACTTAAAAATAGCACAAGTACGGAAAGCTGCATGACCATCGACATGACGCATTTGACTTAATTTTGCCATTACGCATGTCCCAAAATTAAATTTGCATTAGCTTCGCTTAGCGTTCACACGGAGCTAATGCGAAGTAATTTAATGCGCAGTAAACTAATGCAAAGTAAACTAATTCGCTTTAAATTCTCCGTGTGAACGCTAAGCGAAGCTAATTCGCAGTAAACTTACGTTTAATTCGAATTAAACTCTCCGTGTGAACACGGCATTAATGTATGTTATAATTATTTCCTTAAAGAAGAATATATTTCGTTTGTTGTAAATATGGAAGGTTATTTTAAAGCAAGTCTCGTTGTATATACATGTATTTATTCTATTTTTGGATCATCTGCATAGTCAACATGAAAACCTCTCACGAACAGTGGGGGACGAGTTCCTTGTTACAAAAATCGATAACATTGTGAATCACGTCGATAATAAAATATAAACATGTTGCGCAAAACCAATCATTGGCATTTAAAAAAAATCAATACAAACATATTTACAAACCAAAGCACTTCTATATATGTTCGCACATGTGTATAAGCGCAGGACTTTGTATTATCAATAGCAAAATATTAAGCTAATTGATACGAAAGCCCAGAAGGTTAATTCGAGATTCAAGTTTCGAAATGCGAGATTCGAAATTAGAAATTCGAGTTTCGAAATTCAAGATCCATACTTACGAATCAAAAGCTGGTTCAACATTAATTACTTCCCTTTATTATGTTTTTACTATAATTAAGAAATCGTTGATTATATTTATAACAGTGGCGTAGCATCGTTTTTGAAAGTGGGGAGGGGGCAGCCAGAGAAAATTTTGTTATACTTACCAAGGAAAAAGTTGCCCGTAGTCGAAAATCCTATTTCGTGGGGGTGGGGGTGGTTTAGGTAAACTTTTTTCCCAGTTTCAAGTACCTTTAGTACCAATTATAATAATACTATTTCGGTATATCACTAAGAGTCTAAGGTGGGGGCCAACTTGGCTTTCAATTAACATTTCCTATAGTATAGGTAAGGTAGGGAAAAAGAAGTGGGGGGGGGGGGGGGGGGGGGCCGCCCCCCCCCCCCCCCCTGTTGCTACATTCCTGTATAACAATTTGACCATTTTCTTAAATGATAATGCAAGAAAGAAATGTTTTATGTTTTAAAACGAATTAAAAATAAAATTTATATTTAATACATCTTGAAAAATAGATATATAATCTTATTTTTCTCATTAAACAACACAGTAAATACGTATAAATAGAATAAAGGTTAAATTTGTGCAGTGAGACTTGACTGCTGAATCGAACTGTAGCTATATACGGCCTTACGAGTTTATTTTAATCTTTGACCATAACGTTATGGTCAGAGACTAAAAGATAAAACCACAAAGCTATAGTTCTGCACCTAATTTGGACTAATATACTGTTTCATATCCGATAAAATGAATGCTGCATTTATTCTAATTAACCCTCTAGTGCCCCATGTAGCATATATGCTACATGGACTTGGATGGTATGCTTAATTATAATCGTTGTGAATAATAAATTATCTCCCTTTGATTTGAACTCTCCATCATCATATTAGCAAAGTTTAGTTTCGCATTTAAACCTAACTCTACGTCACATGACTTGTTGATCCTAACAAACATGGCTGCCTCCATGAAGAACCTAACGCTGTGCAGAGCCAGAGTTTCTTCAGATAATTTCTAGAGTATACAGTGAGTATTTGTAAAAACAATTCAAAAAATATCTTTAAAACGGATCAAATAATTGAATGGAGCATGAAAAATCACCTAAGTAATACATGATTATATGCAAATATTTGTTTGAAATGGTGTGTTGCATATGTGATACATCGGGAATTATTTTTTTTGTATATTATATGATACACCGGGCATTTACAGAAGATACAGCTCATTTAAATTTTGGGCACTCTCAACATTGAAAATACTTGAAAACTAAAAAGTAAGCTGTTGTTTTTGGTGCGTATTGTTATGTACAGTAAATATTACACAATTAATTTCAAAAGATTGTTGTTATTTTTTGCTTATCAATAAATGGTTATCACCTGAATCTGTGTATCACATATGAAACATTGGGCATTTAATACTTGCTTTATATTAAAATAAAACACAAACTATATCCTGAAACAAATGTAAAAGTTTTGTATTAGTAAATCTGTATTTTGCAAATAAATCATTCATTATACTTTGAATGTATATTTCTGTCATTTCTAATGTTTATGTATTTTTTTATCAGTGTCAAAATGGAGAGAAAACAAAGAACAGCTGCTAAAAAGGTTCGGGATCTTATAAACCAAATAAGGAATGATGATAGTGATTTTGATGATTTTGAAAGTTCTGGCGATGAATTTAAATTAAGAAAATGTGATTTGGATGAACAGTCTTCATCTTCAAGTGAATGTGAATCATCTGATTCTGATGAGACTTTGTATCAACTAAAAAAAAAACTTAAAACCCAAAAGTCTACCTCTGTTCATGACAGTGATTCTGACTCCGAAAATATCCCACTAGCAGCTTACATCAAGGAGAAAAAGCAGAATAGAAATCATAGTGATCCTCCTCTCAGGGAATTGAGTTTACAGGACATAAATGAAGATGCGGACCTTCTAGATGTACTACCTCAGTTGCAAAACCAGCAATGGAATTGGTCAAACCAGCTGTACAAAGAGCCATGCACTGATTTTAAGGGAAAACTTGAGGAAGCTCCTCCTGATGGAATGCTCAAGACTCCACTCCAATTTTTCAAACTCATGGTTACTGACCATATGATTTCAAGTATATCTGAACAAACAAACCTTTACGCAATGCAGAAAGAGGGAATTCAGCTATCGACTACACAGAAAGAAATTGAAATTATGATTGGCGTGTATTTGAGAATGGGCCTTGTCCAGATGCCAAGAGTTCGTGCTTATTGGGAGACAGACAGTCGTTTTTCTCCTATTGCAGATGCAATATCAAGAAATAGGTTTGAAAAAATTGCTACCATGATTCACTTCATTAACAATATGTCAGTCACTGATGACCAAAAGAAAGACAAGCTGTGGAAAGTAAGACCATGGATTGAACAGTTGAGAAACAGATTTCTTGAGATACCACCTGAGGAAAATCATGCAGTTGATGAAATTATGGTGTCCTTCAAGGGGAAGTCTAGCCTGAAGCAATATATTCGGGGTAAACCAAATCCATGGGGTTTCAAGCTATGGGGAAGAGCAGGGGCCTCGGGCATTCTTTACGATTTTGATGTGTACCAAGGTAGTTCAGAGAAAGCTGCAAATTCTATTGGTGTTGGTGGTGATGTTGTCCTAAAGTTATGTTCAACACTGGAGCCACATAATTACAAAATATTTGCAGATAACTATTTTACATCCCTGCCATTAGTTAAAGCTTTACAGGATAGATCACTTTGGTACGTAGGCACAGTAAGATCTAACAGGCTGAAGGGCTGTATTCTGAAGTCAGAAAAGGAATTAAAGAAAGAAGGAAGGGGATCTGTAGACTTCAAAGTTGAAACATCCTGTAACATTATAGCATTGAGGTGGTTTGACAACAAATCCGTGGATGTTGTGTCATCATACGTTGGTTTGAATCCAGTTGGAGAG